AGACGTGTGCTCTTCCGATCTCCCCAAAACCCCAAAACCCCATGTAGGAGAGATAAAATTTATCAGATAGAATGGATAATTATGAATAAATTTCTAAGAATTATATTGCTTTACACATAACTGCTGAAAATCTTGCGTTGCTATATATTTTCATTATATTCTATTACACACAACTTTCTCAACTCATTGCCTGTTTTTATTCTTCTTATTTTTCTTCTTGTTCTTTCCACCTTAGTTGATAACAGATGCTTCACTATCTTCATTTCCGTCTTTTCTAGTTGTTGAAGGATTTTGAGATGCTTAATTAAAATTGATCTAGGTCTTAGTACTTTGCTCTGCTCCTAGATTAAGGTTCTTAAGTTAGGTCTAAACGCCTCTAGCTGAATCAGCAGTAGCAGTTTATTGTTGCTATTATGAACCTGAATTCTCTTTATTTTATGACTTGAATTCTTTGTAAAGTTTTTCCTTGTCTATACCAGTGAGGGAATCTTCAACGTACTTGATGGTTCCTTCAGCTGGCTTGTGATACTTAGAACCTCTCTTTCCACAGATCTTGAATCCATAGATCTTAGGTTCATATAAGTAGATCTTAGGTGGAAGAATTACAGCTTCTGGATAGTGTTTGAGGAAAACATGGGGGAAGCTTGTACCAAAGTAAGCTCCATCGATATTGACATTTCTAAATTTAGGTAGGTAAACCTCTTCGCATCTGGGACAAAAGACCTTGAATCTAGAAGTTTTGAGTGAATCGCTTAATCCTACTGGCAAGACTTTCTGCTTATCACAGAGGGCTCGAGGGCAATAACCATAAACACCTGAGAGGAATTTCTAGTATATTTTTGCAATACCTCTTGGGGTATTGATGTATCTGGAATGAATAAGTCCATACAAGTCACTTGCTTCTTGATTGAGCTCTAGGAAATGCTCATCAGCTAAATCCTCTTCATTTGGTGCAAGTGGTGACAATATCATCTTGACGCAAGTCTTGAACTTATCCTTGGGGAAGGTGGCTTATAGACCATAAAGATTGAATTGATCTTTGATAAAATCTTCATCAATCTCAGTCAAGAACTCGTGACCCTCTAAAGAGCAGAACCACTTGATCCAGCCTACTTAGGCCCCACCATCATCAGACATAGCATCAATGTCGACATGTTCTTCTCCCGAGTCAGAGTTATAAGCTAATTGTTCTTCTTCCATTTCTTTAATCAAGGTTAGATACCCTTTTCAATATTTGAATTTAAATTTATATTATTTATACAATTCCTTTGTTTAGACTTACATTCAATTGCAGAGATTTTGCTAGCTTGGGGTTTTGGGGTTTTGGGGAGATCGGAAGAGCGTCGTGTA